GGGGACAAGCTGACAATGTACACGAGATTCTCCTGTTACGTGTTGTGAAGGTGCGCCAAGCTTAAGAGTACAACGAACGTTGTCTCCTGACAGCCGAACGTTTAGCAAGCAATATTTCGGCTTGAATAGTAACAAATGCAACGGTTCATCACAGAATTGAAGATAAGTCATACGACAGAAGAAGTCAAAGTAAATTTCGCAAAAAGCAAGAACTATTCATCGAAGGTCTTTGAAGAATATGACATCCTCATGCATATCACTCAGGTTCTAGCTTACCTGCGTCGTAGATTGAGAGTTTACTGCTTGAATAAAATATCAGAACAATTCTGGTCTTTAGCATAGATAAAAAAGACAAAAAATCACAAAAATTTAATGAAACGTAAACAAACAGAAAAAACTGTTCTGGCGGAGTTGTACTCTGTGAGTTGTATTTACAACTGTCGCAACGAAAAGAAGAACCAAAATATCTTTACTCCTTACTAAACCTCTTACGTTCTAATCTGTCCCATTTCCGTTTAAGGACCTTGCCACGTGCATAAAACTTGCTGATGACACTATTTGTACTCCTCACGAAATTCAGCATCGATTTCAGACTCCATGAGGATGCTGCGTCTTCAGCTGTAAGCCAGCCGCTGACAACAGTGACAGCTAAAACAGTTCCCACAGAAATTTTTCACAGTGTGAAGCAAACATTCGCTCTCTACCAAATGTCTCAAGACACGTTTACAGACCGTCATCTGATCCAATGCGTTTATAAAGAGGAATATCTTGGTGTCTTAATCAGGTCATAGACATAGAGGAGACTTGAAACGATCATTTCGTCTGGGGCTTAGTGGCAGAATGGCGATGAGGCCATCTTCAAAGTCTGGACGACCCTGTTTCGAGTACAGAAAAGGAGCAGACTTTACCATAACCACGAATTCCCCTGAGCAAATAAATCACTTCCGGTGCAACCAACCGAGAAAAGATACCAAATCGTCGATATGCGAATAATCGACGCAACGTTTTGGTCAGGTGCCGTCATATCAGAATGGACCACATGTCAGCCGTGCTTGCCGACGCGAGCACCCTTAGTGTATACAGTAGGTGTTCACTCACCTGATCGCTGACTATCCAGCGTGATATTCAGCCCGAAGCGTAGGCACTGAAAAATATCACGTCACGCACATTCTAAAGAAAACACGACTCATTTCTTTCCATCTGAAACAATTGGATAACTCTTGCTTACCGTTGCAATGTTGACAACAGTTCACTGACTGCAGCATTTTTCAATCTTTTACTTGTGCTGATCCCGACCTCGACGCCGGTCCGTTCAAATTAGAATGCCACATTCTAAGTTGAGCCATAAGTTGAATTGCTGATAAAAGCAGTGGAAACGTTTGTATTTCCTTGACTGCTGAGATGAATAGCACAGTACTAACTCAGATTGCCAGATTGAGACAGTCTATTATTAACAACGAAGAACACTCCCTTCATATTTCTGTGGATCGCAACCTCGTTTGAAACTCCCAACAAAGAATCGGTTCATAGACATCCACGCTACAACGAAAACATGTCAATATTCAGTCACTCCATTCATCATCAGTGCTTCAAAGAGCTTTAACAAACAATGGAATGAGCAAAGGAAAGTTTCCTGCAGAGGTTGATTTATTCATTTGCTCAACAGGTTTTGGCGTTCGTTGAATATTGTATGCTGACAGGAGGTGTAGCTTTGTCTGTCTCATTTCAGCAATAAATTGAATTGAACAGTATTCTGATCTTCGTGAGCATTCGAGAATTACCAACACTAACTCATCGCTGAACTATGAATGAAAGAAAAGGGCTGAAATTTGACAACTCGGTGAATAATTTGAGAAAGGGAACACTATCAACTTCATGTTCAGAAAATCGAATTTCTCGACTGGACTTGAGGTTGCTGGCTGCACTTTGTTTGATTTGGCAAACTTAATATCAGCAAGTGCGTGCTTCATCACATCGTGCCATCAGGTTTCGCGGTACTTTTTAAATTAATCCAACTAGCAGCTAAACTGCCACGTCAGTTTGTGGTGCAGTAAAATTTTCACGATAGC